CTGGAGAATATGCTGCACCAGCGGGACTGGCGGCAGCCAAGTGTCCCTGCTGGAGACCCCAGGAGACTCTGGGGCAGCAGGCGGGCAGCAAGGTAGAGCTGTGGCACACCAGCTTTAGCAGGGCCAGCGCCAGGGCAGGGAGCCCCAGGGAGAGGAGCCCGGGAGCAGGGCAGCCAACAGGGGAACACTGACCTCCCCTGGTCCAGCAAACTCCCTGGATGGGACAGCTCAGGTCCTGAGGGTGCTGGACCAGGGAGGTCCAACCTGTACAATCAAGAATTGTCTCTCCTCTAGTGGGCTCCAGGGCTGGTTGCTCCAAGGTGTCAAGGTGTCAAGGTTTTGTATCTCTGCATCCCATCCTGAATTATCTGTGACATCAGTACCCTAAAGCAATACCTTGACACACACCTGTTACCATGATATGATTATGATATGCTTTGTACTAAGTATGCCTCGTGAGGTATCATCAACTGCACAGAAAAGAAAGGAAACATGGCAAGAGCCCACTCTGGCTTAACTAGGAGATTTTCAATTATCTTTAAAAAAAAAAAGTCCTACCAAAAGTGGAAACTAGGTCAAATTACAAAGGATGTACATATAAAAAACCCCACCACAAGTATGTAGAGACAAAATTAGAACAGCAAACACATGAAACAAGATTAAACTAGCCAGAAACAAAGTATTTCTAGAATGTTTTCTTGTCATCCATTAGAAGCAAGAGAAAGACCAAAAGCAGGGTAGGATCATTACCCAGTAGGGATGGGGAGTAACAACAGAAAAAATGTGGAAATGGCAGAAGTGCTTAATTCTTTGTTTTAGTTTTCACCAAGAAGGTTGGTGATGACTGGATGTCTAACATAGTGAATGCCAGTGAAAATGAGATAGGATCAGAGGCTAAAACAGGAAAAGTTAAAAATCACTTGGACAAATTATATGTCCTCAAGTCATCAGACCTCATAAAATGCATCCTAGAATACTCCTTTAGCCGACCAAGGAGATATCTGAGCCATTAGTGATTACCTTTGAAAAGTTACTGACAAGGGGAGAGGTTCCACAAGACGGGAAATGGGCAAATACAGTGCCAATCTATAAAAAGGGAAATAAGGACAACCCAGGGAATTAGAAACTATCAGCGCAACTTCTGTATCAGGAAAGATAAAGGAACAAATAATTAAGCAATTAAATCGCGGACATCTAGAAGATAACAAAGTGATATGTAACAGTCAGCATGGCTTTGTCAAGAACAAATCATACCAAATCAACCTAATAGATTTTATTTGACAGGGCAAAAAGCATTGTGGCATAGGGGGAAGCAACAGATGTAGACATGGTATATCTTGACTTCAGTAAAACTTCTAACACTGTCGCACATAACCATCTCATTAACAAGCTAGGGAAATACAACCTAGGTGGAACTACTAGGAGGTGGGTGCAAAACTGGTTGGATAACCATTCTGAGAGAGTAGTTATCAATAGATGGAAGGGCATAATGAGTGGGATCAGTTTTGGGACTGGCTCTGTTCAATATCTTCATCAATGACTTAGATAATGGCACAGAGAGTACACTTATAAAGTTTGCAGCAAAACAAAATGGGAAATGGCTGTCTAGGAAGGAGCACTATGGAAAGGAATCTCTAGTATGAAATACAATAAGGACAAAAGTGAATGAGTTGCACATAAAAACAAAATGGGAAATGGCTGTGTAGGAAGGAGCACTATGGAAAGGAATCGGGGGATCATAATGGACCACAAGCTAAATATGAGTCAACAGTGTAACACTGTTGCAAAAAAAAAGCAAACAAACATCATTCTTGGATGTATTAGCAGGAGTGTTGTAAGCACGATATGAGTAATGCAGCTCTACTCTGTGCTGATTAGGCCTCATCTGGAGTATTGTGTCCAGTTCTGGGTGACACATTTCAAGAATGATATGGATAAATTGGAAAAAGTCCAGAGAGGAGCAACAAAAACCGATTAAAGTGTAGAAAATATGACCTGTGAGGGAAGATTAAAATAAGTGGGTTTGGTTAGCCTGAAAAAAAGAAGACTGAGAGGGGACATGATAACCATTTAAGGACATAAAAGGTTGTTACAAGGAGGTAGGAGAAAAAATGTTCTTCTTAACCTTTGAGAATGGGACAAGAAGCAGTGGACTTACATTGTAGCAAGGGAGGTTTAGGTTGGAAATTAGGGAAAAACTTCCGGTCAGGGTAGTTAAGCACTTAACTCAACTGCAAAGGGGAGGGGACAGGAATTGGGAAAACCCCCACTCCAAAGTTTTCTCTGACTATATACAACTATGCGCTAGAAACTACAACTACAAACTAGAGGAGATACTAAAGGAAGCACTTGCTATGCCAGCAAACACAATGGCTGTGTCTACACTGGCATCTTTTTCTGGAACTGCTTAAAACGGAATACTATTCCGTTTTCAGTTTTTAAGCAAACACAATCCCAACAACCATCACTGGTGATAAGAAGGAACTGAGTAGGGGCTGTGTTGGCAGGAGCATATATTGAACGCTAAGAAGGTGCCATTCCAGGGAGCTCCTCAGCCGAATCATCACGAGCTACCAAGGGAAAAACTTTCTGACGACTGTGCAGCGTGCGCCCACCTAATTGGAATCGACATCAGCAATCCCTCAAAGAAGAATCTATGTTTCTGTAGTTAATGCATCTTTTAACATTTTACCTAACCAGTGTGTTTTGCTTGAACAGCTTGGAGAATATGCTCTGAGTACAAAAGCTGACGCATATCCACTTTCCTTTGTAGAAGTGGCAAACTGTGTAATAAACGTACACTGGTCAGGTGTCTGACCAGGGCACAATGGTGCAGCACTGGGGTCCTAGGCTGGGGAGCTGTGGAGAATTGGCTGGAGCCTCTGTATTGTTGGGTCAGGTGAGAGTAGCAGAAGCATTCATGTACCTCTACTGCATGCGTCCCTGCCTGTGAATGTCTATGTAAGTGCAGCACCTGCAGAACTTTGTAGCTTGTCATCGTATCACTGTATGAGCTCAGGTTTTTTAGACAGAGCGCTCAGTGGGACCCCTGTTCCAGGTTGCACCCCAGGGAGCCCATCGACTATGGGGATAGTTGAAATACTCCATTATTACTGAGGTTTTTATGGTACACTTTGGTTCATTTAAGATTTTTACTTAATTGACTACACTCTTGTCCACTCCCCCACCAGTATGGCCTATTCTATTCTTCTGATACATTTTGTACTCCTGATACTACTGTGTCCCATTAGCTATCCTCATTCCACAAAGTTTCTGTGACTCCTATTGTATCAATATCCTCATTTAATATGAGGCATCAAGTTCACCCATCTTGGTATTTAGACTTCTAGCACGTGTAGATAAGCACTTAAAATTGTCACCTTTTAGCTATCTGCCACTATATGATGTAATGAATAGGACTTTTTTCATTTGACTGTTTCTCATCAGATCCTACCTATATTTTATCATATTCCATCCTCTCCTCCTTACTAAGATATAAACAATCTCCATTAATAGAGTCTCGCCTATGGGATATCTATGTCCAAGACACATGCTCCTCCCCACCTGTCGGTTTTCCTTCAGCCCTTAGTTTAAAAACAACCCTACAGCCTCCTTAATTCTCAGAATTAAAAAGTTGACAGTTTAAACCTACTCTGCTGCTGCCTCATCCTTTTTAGCATGTACGTGTTCCTCTTCTGCCAGTAACTGCTGATACTGGCTACTTATAAATGTATTTTCATGTTTAAATTTTCTATTCACGCTTTCAGCTACACTTAATTCTTCCTTAGCCTAGAAATAAAGACCAAATATAGTAACTTTTCATTGTAATTTCCTGTCTATTTTACATGTATCTAATAATTATAGTAATAATACTTTGTACTGCTACAGCATCTTCCATTTGAAAATCTGAAACACATTTAAAATAATTATACTTCATGGTACCATTGTGGGACCCTAAGAACTCCACAATATCAATTAGCAAAATTTACCACACTGATCTTTATAATCGTCAAAGCTATGTCTATACAGCAGTGTTATTTTGGAATAACTCATGTTATTCAGAAATAACGAAGAGCATGTCTACACACTGCAAGCCATTATTTCAAAATAATGGTGCGCTAGAGGACTTCTTACTCCGACTCCTGGTAACCCTCATTTTATGAGGAGTAAGGGAAGTCGAAGGAAGAGTTATACGCCCTGCTATATAGACATATTCTAAGATGTACATACAGATACTATTCAAGGAGCTGTGTATATGTCCCCAAACTGGTGACCAAGGTAGACCTGACAGACAGGTTTGCATCAAAGGATGCTGATCCACCTGTCTCTCTCTGTTGGCTATTTAGACTATGCACGATAAGCCAACACAATGGAAGCCAAATCTGTCTGCACACTAAGCAAGAATATGTAAAGACATAGACCAGCATCCCAGGAAAAGAACCACGGGGTCATCCTGACTGTAGGGAGAAAAACACTGACCTTTCACGTTTAAGAGGAAGGCAAAAGGACACCTTTTATATCCTTCACTGGAGATGCACAAAGAACTGCCCTTTTTGCATTTGTGAATGCTGGATCCTAGCTATATTGGTTAGTGACATTGGAAGAAAGCTTTGGGTGAGATACAACTGCTTTCAGACACATGTTTAATTAAGTTCCAACTATCAGAAGTATGTTATACTTGGTTTTTATGTAACTATTTGTTTCCATAATCTTTACTCAGGATCTCTTACATCAGGGGTAGGGAACCTTTTTTTGAGTTGGGGGCCCCACACCCTCAAAAAATCAGTTGGTGGCCGCACAAGAGAAAAACCAAAAAAAACCCCTCCACCTCTCACTGATCTGGCCCTCGAATGAAAAGAACGACACTTCCCACATTCCCCTCACACACCACAGCTTGTAGGGGAGGTGGGCAGCCTGGTATAATTTGTGTGCACCAGCCCTGTGGTGGGCAGCAGGTGGACTGGAGCAACAGTGTAGACTCCTCAATGCTGGGGGGGAGAGGGGCCTCGAGGGGCCAGATACAGGCAAGTCGGGGGCCGCATCCAGCCCCTGGGTTCCCCACCCCTGTCTTAAATCTTAATCTTTGATAATACATTTAGGATTTTCCCCTTACAAATATAGCTCAGCACAGGAAAGTTATAAAGACCCTCCTCCTGATTTGTACCCGTCAAGCGGGGTGTACACTGTTCCTTTGCTTATCAGAATGGAATGAACAGAGATATTGGCTGGCTCGCACACCACCTTCCCCAACCAACCAACCAACCAACCAACCAACCAACCAACCAACCAACCAACCAACCAACCAACCAACCAACCAACCAACCAACCAACCAACCAACCAACCAACCAACCAACCAACCTGCCCTTCCCGTATTTATTCTTGAATCTGGACTTTTAATACTCCAGTCATCTGAAGAAGTAGGTTGCTCCCACAAAAGCTCATGATACCATTACGTATTTTGTTAGACTATTCGTTGTTTTTTAAGTTTTTCTAGTTACAGACTAACTCAGCTACCCCTCTGAAGCTTTTGTTCCTTTTGGGTCAGCTTACCGGGTAATTTCTATGAGCATCCCATGACAGAAGCCAGATACTACTGGGGGACACCTCAGAGAAGCTCAGGGACTGGGCTGCACCTAGTACTGAACTGCAAGGCGAAGTTAGTGCTAGCTTAAGCCCAGAGGAGAATGTTTGAATAGATGACAATCTCAGGGAGCTGATACTCTATTATTACAACTAGACTCCCTCTCATGGGAAGCAGTGGGTAGCAAGGTGATTCAGTCAGGGCACCCCAGGAAAATCTCACATCCTGCAAGATACAGAGGATGAGGGCTATTGCTTCATCCAATCTTCAGCTCCACTGTAGCACGGCTTCTTTGGAACAGACCTGAGGAAATATTCGCTAGCCCATTCTGCTTTGTGCTGCTCCAGCCACGGACAAAAGCCATGAAACCCAGCTTAGCTGTCTAGTTAAGTAGGATTTATGCCTGCTTTGCATTATGGGAGTAATAAAAAAAAAGAAACTGCCAGAGCTGTACTAGGCTATGTCTACACACAAAGAACTGACATTATTCTGAAATAACAGTCCACGTCTACACACAAGCAGTTATTTTGACATAATGTCAAAATAATGTTGAGCTGGAGGACTGCTTACTCTGACTCCCATAAACCTCACTGTACAAGGAGTAAGGGAAGTCAGGCGAAGAGTGCTCCACCTCAAAATAACTGTGTAGGCAGTGCCAAAAGTCGAAAAAAACTATTTTGACTTAAGCTACGTCGAAAAAAACTATTTCGACATAAGCTACGCAATTAGCTTAGCTCAAGTTGCGTAGCTTATTTCAAGTTTAGCCCTGCTGTATAGACATGTCCCTAGTTAATTTGGGTCTTCAATTTTACCTGATGAGAGCTACTAGAGAAATAAAATCATTTGCTGTTTTAAGGAAACGGTGCTTATTGAAAATTAGGGGATCAAACAGCAGTAAGATTCAAACAGTGAAAAACACACTCAGTTTATAGTAGGGATGTTAATGTAGATTAATGGACTAATTGAATAGTAGATGCAATTAGCATCAACTAGTCAACAAGGGCGCCTTCAGGAGTGCTGCAGGAGGACAGGGCCAGTGGGGGACTCAAGCAACGCTGGCCTCATGCTCCCCGCAGCGTTGCAAAGTCCACAGCTCAACTTGGGTTGCACGTGGCATTTCAAAGTGGCAGATCCCAGGCTCCACGTGGCGCTGCCACTTTGAAATGCCATGTGCAGCTCAGGGCCAGCTGAATGTGGCATTTCAAAGTGGCAGCGCGTGGAGAGCTTCCACGCTCCACTGCTGCTTTGAAGCACCCCCTCTTCTCTCCCTGCTAGCTGCCTCTTTCGGATAGAAGCAGTGGGGGGGAGTGGAGGGAAGAAGAAAGGGGGAAGGCAGGGGCAGGAGAAGTGACCAGACGACTAGTGTGTCGACTATCTCATAAGCATTTGCTTATCAGATAGTCAACTAGCTGATCACATCTCTAGTTTATAGATCATGATCAGTTATACTATTTCACCTTTTGTCATTGATTCTTGAGCACTGAGACCCATTTATTTAGAGTTGATTACTTAATGTCTATGTAAACAACTCAAACCCAGCGCTATAACAGGGCACATCAAAAATAATAGGTGTTATAAAAACGGTCAGATTCTAAAGGCATATTTTAGTGCACTAAAACAAACATCTCAAAATAAAACAAAATGCTAATTAGCCTTAAAACACAAAAATGGACTGTGTCATGCTCCAGTTTTGCAAGTAATTGCAGTTAATGAGCCTCTATGCAGGTCTAGTGGCTCATCCACTTTCAGCCTCTGGGCCCAAGTAATTATTTGATAACAAAGAAGTCTAATTGAAGAATATTAACCTAGAGTGGACACACAAATACAGGGGTGGAAAAATTCCTGCCCATGGGACAGATCAGATCCACCAGAGTTAGTCTCTGATAGGCCCACACTTCTATATTTACTTGCACCTCTGCAGGTACGGGCAATCGCAGCTCTCACCGGTCATGGATCACCGTTTGTGGCCAGTGAGAGCAGCAGGAAGGTGTTTCTTTTCTGTGCCACTTCCTGCCACTCCCATTGGCTGTGAATGGCAATCTGTGGCCAATGAGAGCTTCAACTGCCTGATACCTGAGGAGGCGCAGGTAAATATAGCAGCAGCAGCAACCTGTCAGGGACTAACCCAGGCAGACCACATTTTTTTTTATTGCCCACAAATATAACACAATAAAATTGTGACAAAAAGTAACTCCGATCAAGAAATATCCTTCCTGCATACAAACTATAATATTAAATAATGTGCTTATATAAATTATACATATAACACATCAGATCATGTGTATTCAGCAGTTATTTATGGCTACTAGATTTGCTCTGTATTTATAGTCCTACAAACCAGAATGCTTTATATCCAAATGCTAATTACAAATGCATGCCATCTTGTGAATTTGTAAAAGAAGGGAAATAGTTGTTTAGAAAGGTCCTCAGGACAAATTTTTTGGTGGCCTCAGAATGTGGCCATTCACTCTTGCCAGTGACCGCTCTCACTTTTTCCTAAAATACTTAATTAGCTTTAGGAAAAACAAATCCATACGCTCACATGCACCTCAAAACCATTGTCAGTTATTTATTGCTAGCTAGCATATCTGGTGTAAAAAGTGCAAAAAAAAGTATCATTTTTTCACAAAGGAGTTACTCAGCCCTGGCAACTCTGGGGACAAATTAAGCCCTGGACACAGGGTTGAGGGAGGCAGTAAGGGCTGAGGTGATGGAGTTGTGGAGCTGGGAGAGAAAGTGGGATGCCAAAGACTGAAGCCCCATTGCCACAGTCCAAAGCCCTGTGGCCAAGGATGGGGATGGAGTCTGAAGCCCTAAGTCTGGGGACTGCCACCCCACCATCCCAGGGGGGAAGCCTGAGCCCCTCACCTTTGGAAAGGTGGGGAAATCATCAGCTGCCTGCTCCTCCAACATTGTGACCCAGAAGCTTGCAACCCTAGCAAGCAACACAAAAGCAGTGCATGCAGCAGCAACAGGGAGGGGGAGGGACCACTGCTCCCTCACCCCCCAATAATAACCCACGAGCTTGCACAAACAGCCTTGGTGGCCACATTTGAAAAACACTTCCATGTTGATGTAGTTTTTCAGGAATTTTCATAAATTCAGGTCCAAGGCCTCATATATACAGTCATATTTTTTAAAACCAATAAAGTAGTTAAAATATCTTCTGCTTCTTACCTTTTCTATCTGAATATTTAGAGTCTCTCTTTCTTGGGCAATTTTTGATTGCAAAAGGAATAGATCAGAATCCATGTTATGTCTATGAAACAAAGCCAGTGCACACATATTAAGGAGTGAACATGAACAAAAAACTATAACCAATCGTCCGTTAAATGTCCTTATTCTCATACCTTTAGTGGAAACACAGCGCACAATTTTCTGAACACACCTTGAACTTTTATCAAAAACAAGATTCTTACTCAGCAGTGGGTGCTTCCCAGGTACACACCTGATGAACATACAACTTGCGAAGCAGACATAGCCAGCCAGTGACAGTGGCTATATCCTGCGACCTAGTTCGCTTGCTAAAATAGCAGTGAAAACATGGCAGCACCAACTTTGGTGTGAGCTGTACAGGCACTGCCCGAGTTACAAACATCTGCACTTACACACAAAAGCTCACCTGTAACCCCAGGCAGGGACATTCTTAGGATTTATGGGGCCCTACACAGTACTATTAAACAGGTGCCTCAATGGCAGTCCCGGGAACAGAGGGGAAGATGACAATTTTTAGAGATGTGATTTTATAATCTTCAGCAAGGCACTAAGGAAATATTTTAAAAGCAAATTTTAAAATAAGGTCCTGTCGACTACCGTAATACAGTAAATTCAGAAACTGACAGTATATACCTGGGGTTTTGCAAATGCCTGTTAAATGGCTACATTACTGCTTGAATGGATCTCTCTCAGGTTCAGTGCATATGGGTAAGGATGGCTCTGGCTTAAGGGGAACAGGCAAGAGGCACAGGTGGCGGAGGTAAGCAGTGCAAGTGCGGACTGGAGGACTCTGAAGGAGCAGGGGGCACGGCCAGCGGCTGGGGGGAAGAGGCCCCCCCGCCAGCCACTGGCTGTCCCCTGCTTCTCCAGAGTCCTCCGGCCCACGCTTGTGCTACTCGTTGCCTCCTGGGGAGCAGGGGCTGGATGCAGCCTGAGGGGGGGTGGGAGACTGGGGGGGCTGAGGCTAGCCTCAAGAGCCAGCACAGAGCTGGTGGTCAAGCAAGAAATTAGCTGACCCCTTCTCCTAACTAGAGGAAAAATGTGAGAAGGAAGAAATCTGATAAAGGAGGAAAGAATTTAAGAAAGTAAGAGAGGAGAAAAACTGGTGACTTCAAGAGAAAGAAACATAAAAAACTGAGAACCCCACATGGCTTGAGCTTTGGGATCTGCGCCAAACACAAAGAAGGAAGGAACATATTGTGGCAGTTCTTCAGTTTAACTTCACTGATTAAGGCTCTGGCACATTATATAATATGAAGTGACTCTAGAGATACTGTAACAGCAAAAAAGTAGAGCAAGAAAGGGAACCTTACACACTTAAAACTTTCTTTAAAGTTACCAAAAAGTCACACAAAGGGAAAAAGTCATACCAGCCCATGACACTCACTGCAGCAAGTCACAAGGCCCTGAGCCTGTGAACATGTACACCTGCTTCAATTTATTGCCATGAAGAGTCCCACTACAGTCTATGTTCATGGTACTAAAGTGAAGCATATGCATAAATGTTGGTGGATCAGGGCCATGTGTTGGGACTGGACTGCAGCTGGATTTTGAAAAGAATTTGATAGTTTTATTACTAATAATGGACATAAAATTTGCTATTTTGGTTATGCCAGCTAGGAAAAGGGTAGTCACACTTCAGGATGCAAGACAATAAGCTCATTTACACAGGGATCCCAGGATTAATATTTTCTGCATGGTTTGGTGCTCTTGGGCTTCCTCCAAAACATAAAATATTGGCTACTGGTGGAGACAAAATCTTGGATTTGCAAAGAAAATTCCCATGTTGTATTCTTCCATCAGATGAAATGTCAAAATTGTTAAAAAGCTCAGAGAAGTGCATACACATCAGCATAGCCCTTCAGTCAGGGTAATCTGGGAGACAAATGTTGAATCAGTAATGCCATTTCATAGACTCATAGAACACTGGAATTGGAAGGGACCTCAAGAGGTCATCGAGTTCAGTCCCCTGCCCTCACAGCAGGATCTAGTACCCTCTAGACCATACCTAATAGATGTCTATCTAACCTGCTCTTAAATATCCCCAGTGATGGAGATTCCACAACCTCCCTAGGCAACTTATTCCAGTGTTTAACCACCCTGACAATTAGGAAGTTTTTCCTAATGTCCAACCTAAACCTCCCTTGCTGCAGTTTAAGCCCATTGATTCCTGTTCTATCCTCAGAGGCTAAGGAAAACAATTTTTCTCCATCTTCCTTGTGACACTCTTTTAGATACATGAAAACTGCTATCATGTTCCCTCTAAGTCTTCTCTTTTCCAAACTAAACAAGCCCAATTTTTTCATTCTTCCTACATAGTTCATGTTCTCTAGACCTTTAATCATTCTTGTTGCTCTTCTCTAGACCTTCTCCAATTTCTACACATCTTTCTTGAAATGTGGTGCCCAGAACTGGACACAATACAGGCAGTCCCCGACTTACGCGGATCCGACTTATGTCGGATCCGCAGTTACGAACGGGGCTGCCCCAGAGTACACGGACTGCGGGACCTCGCGGTCCTGCCGCCCGTGTACTCTGGGGCTTTGCTCTGCGTCTCCCTGGTCTGCAGACCAGGAAGACGCAGAGCAAAGCTGCGGAGGGGCTCGGGCAGCGGGGCAGTCTAGGCGCTCCTGGGGT